ATGTCTTCATTGTACAGCGCATTTGAACATATTCATATGAAATTTGCGCTTTGTAAATGAATAAATTATTATTATCATTATTACTATTATTATTACAAGATTGAATGGTGAGCCCAGGCGAGGAACTGTGGAGTATATCTCTCAGTTTGGGTTTGATCAGTAACAGTTGCTATGACAACGCTGTCTGAGATGCAAGGATAATGATCTCACCGTGCGGGAGGTAACCTTTGACTGCTGTGAGGGTATCTTTTTCTTTCTTAGGATTAAAATTCTGCCCAAGTGGAAGGGCCAATGACGGTTGTCAGTAATTTTAAGTCGTATGACTTTATGCCGCTGCATTAGATTTTTTTTAAATGATGGAAATTTGTAAACTCAACTTGCACTTCCGGTTTCCAACAATGCGGTGGTTCTGCTTCCAAATATCCCAAATTCTCCTTTTTTGAAAGTTTAACAAACAAACAAACAAACAACCCAACAACCCAACAAACAAACCACATAACTGATTAACGCTGTCTGCCTTACAAAAATGCCTTTAAATTCGAAATTAGAACTTTTTTATCAAGTTGATTATTTTCTAAATAAATTAATACAATTATCACAACAATCTTATCTCTTTCTGTTTTCCTAACTTGGGCAAAATCATGAAATAATTTTTTAAAAGAAATCAGAAGACATCAAGACTGGTGCTGAGTCTATGCTAAAAGAACTTCAGTTCGAGCTTACCCGAGTTCGTTCAGCCGCTGGACATCGCTGCCGTGAACTACCCGATTCTCTGACGTCTCTTGGCGCTGCAGCCCCGCCGAGAACACTCCCTCTGATCTGGCAAGGAAGTGCGCACAGCTGAATAGCGACACACCGACAATGAGTGCCAAAATCTTCCTCTGTCTCAGGCCGTGGGCCGACCAGGTAAGCCGACGCGCACGTACCACGAGCTGCCATGCCATCTCCGTACCGTCCGGCCGCGGACAGTGCAGCTGCAAGACTAGTGGTGATCTTACGGTATGAGAGTTGCCACTCTAGAAATCCCGCACTGCCTGCTGGTTGGTCGTCTTCAGTGCATGTACCGTGTTGTCGACGGACATTCTTGGCCTGTATGTGCATTAACTTCCCCTACTAAATCACTCACACACGTGAGCTGAACGTTACCGCTGACACGCACACTCACTAGCTGCGCATGCTTCCCGAGCTCTGTTTTGATTTCACGCGGTTGATTTTCTTCAGGCGAGTTCACCGTCTCGAGGAAAGCCAAGCCTCGGTGATATTTGTTTATTCGATAAGAACACAGGTTTAGTATGCGCTATGGGAATTGTATTGCATCCCCTCAGGACCCTTAGGGCGCGTGCTAATTCGTCAATGTTAATAAATAGGCTCAAGAGCTGTCCGCCGAGGTCATTACAAAGAGTTATACACTCAACATATTTGTCATTAGAAACTTGTAATAGCCCCGAAATTGGAGAATTGAAGAAATTTTGCATGGAACCTGTGGCCTGGACTTACGGCTTCTAATTCTGAGCAGTTTGGATGCAATTGGGTCCGAAAGTGGTACCATTTGGCCGTTTTGCAGAGGAATGGTTTTTCAAAATGGCTACTTTTCTGGGCAGGGACATTTTCTTTATTTTAGGGGTGGTCTGCTTCAGGTGAGAATTTCTCAAAATTTCAACAGTCAACCCCCAAAAAAATTGATAGGAAATGAAAGGGAACGTGTGGAACGTCGTTTTCCTGTGCAGCCTGAATACCTGTGAGAGTTGTATTTTTTTTTAATAATTGTAAATTATGGGGATTCATCACTGCTGTCTATGGGAATTGACTTGTTGTGGTGCATCCCTCGCATTACTACATTTTTTGAGTTGCTGTGCATTTGTTTTGTGCTAAGACAAGTTCCTTCACAACTGCCCCTTTTCACGAGCGCATTTTGTACAGTGCCCTTATTAATGGCGTAACAAACGACACAAATTTCCCGCAACTTTGAAAACTTCGATTTCCACCTATTGGCTACGGACGCAATAATACAATACATCTGGACCCGTAATGCCATTAATCGGTCAGCCATTGAAGCCACTGCTCCGGCGGCCATCATGCTGAATATCAACGTAATTGAGCCTAAAAGTGAAAGGTCACGCAGCGAGCTTCCAGAACCCTCGCGCAGTCCTCATGTTAGAATTTTACATGGTGTTGTCCTATCACGCTCAGTAGTTTTTGGAAGGATTATTTTTAACTGAAACTACCTTAAAAACACTGATGTCAGAATTTTACCTTTGTGCTCCTCAAGTAATATTTTTGAAAAGTGCCCTGGAGATGGGTAAAACACGAAAATTATTAACGAGCTTTTACTTCCGGCGATAATGCTGGTTTGTTTTCACTTCATGAACTTACGTGAAAACAAAATTGTACAACGTTTCCAAAGATTTACATACCTGCAGCCGGATCACGGACGTGTATATTAAAATCTGGACTCGTAATGCCCTTAATCAGAATATAGAGATCATTGAATCCACTCGCAGCCATTTTACCGAGCCGAATACAAAACTTTCCTGGTAATGCCCGCCTTTGTCCTTCCTGAGGTCAATAGTAGGGAGCCAACCCACGCGTTTGTATTTGGCTCAGTAAAATGGCCGCTGGTTGGCTTCTTTTTCATACAAAGGCGTTGCAGGTCCAAGTTTTTTTTATATACGTCCGTGCAACGGATGGATTTAACTTTAGTATCCGTCGTAAAGGCAAATCATTTCATCAAATTTCCGTATAAATTGTATAAGCTGCTTAAAATTTTGATCTGTTTTCATAAGTGTTCATCTGCGTATACGAGACCACCGAATTGCACTATTCTTAATGTTTTTTAGATTTTCGGAAGTGAGAGGTCAAAGTTTGGCCGGATGTTTCTCTTTCCGGTCAGGTAATTTTCCAGTTTCTACAAATTAATATCCGTTATAGCAAATATTGTACAAAGGCCTTTTTCAAGGAGATTCTTAGGCAAACTGGGAAAAAAGTAGAAAATCTATGCAAGTTATTTTTGCTATCCAAGGCCTCCGGAAGCGCGCCACTAGGGGTCAACTTTCTGACCGTGTACAAAGGTTTGTTAATAAAAGCCATGAAAGTGAGGAATTGAACAGATATTGCACTGAACCTCTGGGCTGGAATTAGCGCTTCCAATTCATAGCGATTGGATGCTATCGCGTCCGAAAATGGCACTATTTATCCGTTTTGCGGATGGAAGCTTTTTCAAAATGGTAGTACTTTTCCTGGCCGAGAAATTACCTTCATTTTAGGGGTGGTCTACTTTAGGAACAAATTTATCAAAAATTCATTCGTCAACCAGTAAAAATTGAAAGGAAAATGAAAGAAGACATGTCGAACCCATCATTTTTCTGTGCAGCCTGAACACTTTTCAGAGTTCTGAGAATTTGTAAAATAATTTTGAAGTGGGGATTTATCCCCGCTGTCTATGTATGATGGGAATTGGGTCACCCTTCGTGGCATCAAATAGTTACAACGGGAAGCCAGACAACCGTCGCCTTTGTATTTGGCAAGGAATGATTGCAGCCAGTAGCTTCGTTCGGCCCAAGGCACTGCGAGTCAAGATTTTTCTATTACGACGTCTGGGTAAAGCAGCCTCCTAACGGACAGGGCATACTGTCCGAAACTTCCAGTACCGTCCGGTTCTATCCAGAACCACACACACTTGTACTAAGAGAGACTTTGTATGGTCAAGCTTCCGCAAACCTCTGTAACTAATTACTTGCCACCTTCACTGTGAAAAGCTTCAAAGCCAATCTGACGTCTGTGTAAGTTGGCCAACAACTCGATCCACATGGATCCCTCACGGTCCCACACTTTTATTTTTTAACTTATGGAGGTCGGAGGTCAAGAGTTCTTTTTAATAATAATAATAATATTAATAAAGCATTTATAAGG